ACTAAATGCCTAGGTCAGGACCATCCAACAAAACCTCACGATCAGTTGGAATGTTACCATCACCCTAACAATGCCAGCAAAATGGAGTCATGGAAACGATCCAAACAAGAATCTGGAGAATGGATCAAGTATCCACGTGGTGGCCGTGGTGGAGGTCGTGGTGGCCGTGGTGGAGGTCGTGGTGGTTTTTGTGGTAGAGGTCGCGGTGGCCGAGGTGCTCATCTAGCCAGAGGATTAAATCATCATTCTAATCTTTCTGATTTCCCAAATTCAGAAGAACTCGATATGGCTTTTGAAAATCTCAAACTTGAAGAAAGAGAAGTTAGTTACCGAGTAGAGATTGATGGAAAGTTTTCATGCTCGGCCGATCCTCAAGTAACCTGTGCTGGAGATAAATGTGGTTCAGTCGCTCTGATCGATACCGGAGCTTCGCATCACATGTTTCATGATGCGAGCTTATTCGAATCCGCTACATTAATGGAAAATCATGACCCCGGTGCTAAATTGAATCTCGCCGGAGGAGGTGCTACTCTCGATATCCACTCAATTGGGAATGTAAACTTATTAAATTCTAAAGGAGAAATCATCAAGCTGAAGGATTGTTTATATGTACCCGATTTATCCCGAAACCTCATTGCTGGAGGTCGTTTGCTGAGAGCTGGTGCTGTTACGACTGTGCTAGAAGATCCTCGTTTTTGAATCGATCATGGGAAGAAGGAGCTATTCATAGGACAATTTATCGGAGAAGGCAGTATGATGTACGTGGCCATAAGATCACCGGTCAGTCATCGTTCACATCTATCATCAATATCAAAGTCGAATCAACTCACAATTTTGAAACTACACTATTCATTAGGCCACCCAAGTGAAAAGTACCTAAAAAGAATGTGGAGCCTTGGTTATCTTGATGATGTACTTCCTAAAACTGTCACTACAAATGATTTTGAAATAATAACAAGATGTCCAGTATGTCCTTTAGCAAAAAATCATCGCCTACCATTTTCATCCACTAGGCCTAGAGCTATCAAATTCCTAGAAAATGTGCACGTGGATTTGAGTGGAATAATTAGAACTTCTTCTGTCAACCAAGAGGAATACTATATATTGTTCACAGACGATTATAGTAGTTACCGAGTCTCTTTTGGCCTACCAGACAAAAGTGCCGAGACCGTCTTTGAAGTCTTCAAACGATACATCAGTTTTGCCGAGAGGCAGACGGGTGAGAAACTTAAGATGTTCTCATTTGATGGAGGAGGCGAGTTCATCAACGGGCTCCTTACTCCATACCTGGAAGACTTGGGTATCATCACTCGTGTTACGTCTCCTCACACTCCGGAAGAGAACGGCGTGGCTGAGCGTTCAAATAGAACAATCAACACAAAAGCTCGTTGCATGATGATACAGTCATGCATACCAATTAAATACTGGTATCACGCGGTCTCATATTCTGTCATGTTACAGAATCGAACTATCACAACTTCACTGAATCTTAAAACTACTCCCTACGCCCTCTGGAAAGGAAGACAACCGAGTTTGAAACGCTTTCTTCCTTTCGGGTGCCTTGCTTACCGCCACATTCGAAAAGAAATTCGAGGAGGAAAGTTTGAGGCTGTCTCTCGTCCAGGTATCCTGATTGGAGTGGCGGAGGATAATCACAATTTCATTATCTTGGACCAAGAATCAAATCAAATCCATACCAGTCACGACGTGACTTTTCAACCCCTTGTTTTCCCTTTTCTTAAGGATGCCGAAGACAACCCTGATTGGTTGTTTATCAAAGATCTGCCGCTTGAACCCACAGAAAGGAACGAGCCAGAAAATGAACCAAACGAGAACACTATGACTCGTCCTGATTTAACGGATGACGAAGATGATATGTTGATGGAGAGTCTCACTCCTAAGACTATCTTAGAAACCCCTCCGATTAATCATGAGGATGAACCTCCCGTTGAAGAAGATCCAATCTCTAATACCAAAGACCAGACAACAACTATTCAACCATCCGTGCAAGATGAGCCTAGACAATCAACTCGCGATCGTCGTCCTGTCCAGCGTTACGCTCCAGGAGAATCAGACTGGGCTGAAGCTCCACCTATGAGAAGTTTTGTACCAAAAATCTCACAATCCTCTCACTTATCAAAAGTGTACATGTGTCGAGAAGCTATGAAGGCTAGGGCTGAACCAAAGAGTTATAAAATGGCTATGAAGATGCCCGATGCTGACAAATGGAAAGCTGCGTGTGACAAGGAGATGCAGAACATTATGAACATGGGAGTGTGGGAAATTGTGGACCGACCAAAGAATGCACCTGTAGTAGGTGGGCGTTGGCATTTCAAATATAAAGTTCATCCCGATGGTACAATATCTAAACATAAGGCAAGATATGTAGCAAAAGGTTATACTCAAACGGAAGGCATAGATTTCAATGATACTTTCGCACCCACTGGCCGTCTAGCTTCATTTCGTATCCTTGTAGCAGTTGCAGCAGCTAAGAATTGGTCTATTGAGCAAATGGATGCTATAGCCGCATTTCTCAATAGTGATCTCAAGGAGGAAATTTATCTGGAGTTACCTGAAGGATACGACTCTGAGCGAGCAAACGGGAAGGTAGCTAGACTGAAGAAAGCGTTGTATGGCCTCAAGCAGTCCGCTAGATGCTGGAGTGACGAAGTTAAAGATAAATTATTAAGTATTGGTCTAATTCAAAACCCCCATGATGCTTGTCTTTGGTATGGTAAAGATGAAGAAGGTTTGGAAACTTTACTCTACCTCCACGTCGATGATATGGCAATCACCGGAGATAAAATAGATGAAATCAAATCCCTGCTGAAGATGAAGTGGAAGATGGAGGACTTGGGTCCGGCACATTGCGTTGTTGGTATTGAGATCTACTCCACAGACAATGGGGGTTATGCTTTAAGTCAATCAGCTTTCATCCAGACGGTACTGGAAAGATTTCATGCTGAAGATAGCAAACCAGCTTCGACTCCTTTTCCAGGCGGCACAAAGATCATGAAAGCCACCGACTCTGACGTTATCGAATTCAAACAATCTAACCTTCCGTATAACAGCTTGGTGGGTAGCCTAATGTACATTGCTCAGGGTACAAGGCCGGATATTGCTTATGCAGTAGGTGCTCTGTCTCAACATCTTTCACGACCTTCAACTATAGCCTGGCAGATGGGATTACACGTACTTCGATATTTGAAAGGTACTCAATGCTTAGGACTACATTATTCACCTCAAGACAATGTTATCGAAGGGAATCAGAGCTGGTGCTATCCTGAATGCCACACTGATTCAGATTGGGCTGGTGATCCGAACACACGACGATCAACTACCGGTTATCTATTCAAACTTAACGGAGCTGCTGTAAGTTGGAAAAGTCGTTTACAGCCCACCGTTTCTCTATCATCAACCGAGGCCGAATACAAAGCTACAACAGAGGCTGGTCAAGAAGTAGTATGGCTTAGAGGATTATTGTCAAACATCTCACTACCTCAATCTGAAGCCACGGTTCTATGCAGCGATAGTACAGGTGCAGTATCCTTGACCAAGAAAGCTATTGTTCACGCAAGAACAAAGCACATAGAAGTGCAGTACCATTGGATAAGAGAACAAGTGGAGAAGAATTTAATCAAGCTTAGGCATATTAGTACAAAGAACATGTTTGCTGATACATTAACAAAACCACTTCACCCCGGACCATTCAAGGAATTGTGTCATCAAATTGGTTTAGAAGTCATACACGGACAGCTGAAACAGGGGGTGTGTTGAGAGACACCTCAGTCTCTCGTACCTAGGTTTCAGCCGTGGTGAAAGGTGAATAAGACTCTAAGTATCAAATCACTTTACATACTAAAATACAGTAGTTTTATTCAAACTTAAGATGTCAGACTCAAACTTAAATGATCCCTATTTAAATTGCGCCTCCCCCTTTTCGCGCTAATACTCTTTTCCTTTATCCGTCTTCTTACGGAAAGGAAAAGAGTAAGTTCAACCCCTTCACTACATTATCATCAATAGTCTCTACTCTCCATTAGTTTGATCTTCAATATGACTGTTACTAATTATCATACTGTGATGTTATCTTTTTCTTTTTCATCTGAATCATTGTCGACGCTAGATCTTACTGAACTCATCGCGTCGACCCTTTTCCTTATTTTATATTGTGACCTGAACAAACCTTATAGGTCAGATACATAGTCAACTGGTCTATTCTTTCTATTCTCTTCATCTAACAAGTAGTGTCCTTTTTGTACTTGTCTATTTCTATCTTTTGTTCTATATAGGTTAGTGTTTCAGGTATTGTGACGAGAAGTGATTGAGACTCACTTCTAGAAACTGTCACGGGAATTCAGGTGAAATTGATCCGTCTTCTTACGGAAAGGAAAAGAATCTTACTGAACTCATCGCGTCGACCCTTTTCCTTATTTTATATTGTGACCTGAACAAACCTTATAGGTTAGTGTTTCAGGTATTGTGACAAGAAGTGATTGAGACTCACTTCTAGAAACTGTCACGGGAATTCAGGTTAGTGTTTCAGGTATTGTGACGAGAAGTGATTGAGACTCACTTCTAGAAACTGTCACGGGAATTCAGGTATCTCGACAAAGGAGATTTGTCGCTTTTCATCGAGGAGGACTCAAACCACGTCGATTCCGACCCTGAGATCTACCTTGGGGTGCATTCATAATTAATACACCCTGTTTGCGAGGCTGTCCTGAAGTACTATTGTGAGCGTGTCACGCTGGTGCTACAAAGGCAAGCCCTGATTAATCTGAGGCCGTTGGATCTCAAAGGAGAGCCGCAGCATTGGGTCATAGGCACTCGTGAAACAAAGCTAAGTTTAAACAAACTGAAGGCGACCTGATGATCGCGTCCCGCCATGATTACGGCAGGCAGTGTCCTTCTTGATCCAAACAACGTTAAAACTGCGCTTATATAGAGTGTTTTCCCGACATACTCTCCGTTCCCACATCAACCTTCAATCCTTCGAGATGGCAAACCCTCCCGATCCGCGCATGCGTCTCAACTTCAGTGGCGTGTTCCGATTTGATAGCAACGTGCGTAGGCAGAGACCATTAATCCTTCCTGAATGTGTCCACCGCTAAATTCACCATGCTCATAGGCACTTCAAGTGTATGCTACACCTCCCCACTATTTTCGAAGCTCAATATATCTTCCCGTGCCTGGAACCTGGAATCGTGAAGTTTTCGTACAGGCTGGAGAATTGACGGCCTCACTTGCAACGGCCCGTGCTGTGTTTTTCGCTGCCGAGGTGTATCCTAGACATCCAACACGGGATTCAATTCTTCTGCTCGACCCTGGCTCCGTTGTTGAGTTAGACGACTACGCATGCCAATTGCCACCTCCGGCGCCAATTGTAACAGTCCAAAGCAGAGGTCACGTTGTAAGCTTGGCCCGTCGGACGGCCTCAGCGCAGGATTACGATCGTTGGATTATTGTTGCTTTGCACAACGCGTGGGACGAAAGTGTGAGCGCATTTCTTCTGGCTTCGAAGTTCCTGACTGACTTGTGTACAGTTGGCTCAGGTCACTCACTTCAACGTAATTTATGAGGCCTCGCTGGAGCTCGTGGCACAAATCGGCATAAGGAGGCTCAGCACGGGTACAATTGCGAGCTTCTATGGCGTTGTCCTTCACTACCTTCGTCGCAGAGGCAATTGGGTGGTTGAGGTCAGTTGAGTATCCTAACGCTCCGTTGATGAAGTCGGCGGAGCGTTAACGCAGTGATATTTACGCCGATGTGATTAGCTTCGCGCAGCTCGGCCTGAGCCAAGGATACGACGCAGGTAGATGGAGGGTAGAGGTTGGAGGAAGCATCGCACTCATTCCTCCATCATCCGAGTTTCGTGAAATGTCAGGCTGAGGAGCCAAACCGTTTTCCTATTAGCATTGATCACGCCTGCCTGCAGAGCGATGCCGACCATGTAGTACACTCTTGACGCCTTGTGCTATTTGCCCCCTCTCCCACTCTGTCACACATATTATCCAAGAAGTAACGCGGACTTGTAATGAGGCAACTCCTTGTAATCCTCATTTAGTGCTTTGCTTGCCATTGCGTGCCTGTAAACGTAAATAAATGAGTTAAAAGCGTCTTGCTTAGACATGTTTGCAACAATCGCGCATGATCCCACACCGCGAGCCCAAAGCGATACATCACAGAATCATGATCGCATTGGATACTGGGTGCAGACCGTGACTCTACTGGGATCGGCAACCCAGCGCACCGACATTTAGCAACTCGGCCATCCACCCTCACACTCTCAAGTGGACGCCACGACGCGGCCTAACAACTATGCTCGCTGCAGGTTGTTTGCGTAGGAGCGACGTAGCTCTTTTGCTTAAGAACGACGATGCTCCACCGAAGCCACGTTTCTAAGCGCACCACAGCCGACAGAACATATTGTGATTAATTACAATTAGGTACAATATTCGTAATTCCTCAATTTACAACATAATCACAAAGCACGACCATGCTCAGCTGGGTATCCATTGCGCGTCTTCTCCTGCGCGTTGAGATCACGGAGGCAAACCCTAACGAAGGATAAAATAACTCGCTTCGTTCCGTGAGTGGTGAGCCTTGGAGGGCTCAGTCGGCCCTGGCACGCTTGCTGCTACGCACCACGTCGTGACAGAGGTTGTGATGCGCTTGCGAAGATGGGGGGGGTTGTGTTGAAAGCTAGAGGCGAATTGCTATCCATTCCAATCCAATCATCGCCTCCTGAGGGATCCAAACTCGAGATGAACTCGCATTGCTTGGTCACTAGGGTCGAGTAACTGGAAGCCCTGGAAATATCATATTAGCATTTAGTCTCCGAACAGCACTTGCGAGATTACCTATCAGCTACGAGTCTCGCATCATGCTCCCTCGCACTCGAATGCCCTGCGTCGCGGGCCACATGGTTATTGACTCGGCCCGTAACCATAATCGAATCCACCTGAACGGAATCATTGTCAAACGGCGGTCACAAAGCGATAGCGCGCGCGACGTACTTTGGTTTCCCACGTGTTTGTGACATCGTCGTAGTCCACTACCGCGCCATGGATCAAGACCTCAACGCCAACATTGCAGGCGTCCACTGCATACGATCCTCGGAGCGAGGAAGCAACGTGATGTTCTGTTTTCCAGACGACAGGACTCCCACTCTGATATAATCAAACGTCAGCGAGATTGCTGTGACATGACTGTGCAACGAAGAAGGAAGCGGTAACGTACGATTGGATCATTGTGAACTGACTTCAGTGTCAAGAGGATCACCGACGAAGAGCTGACAGGATGCGTCTGAACGACTTGCCGTTCGAATACGACACCCAGAGCGGTCATCAACACTTTGTTCAAGAACTTACACGCGGGATTCTTCGCGCGTGGCACGGGCAGACCGAGGTCGATCACGCTATCCGTCGTAAAATGCAGGTGATCGAGTGTGGCGGTATTTGAACCGACCATCTTGCAGGTCATGGAGTACATGTGTTCCGGTCTGAGGCGACGACCAGTGAGTGCATCACAAGTCAAAAGGATAGGTGTCGTGTAGGGATTGTCACCTTCCATACCTGAAGTTGCAATAGTAGCATTGAATGACGTGAACACCTTCTTCCCGTTAACTGAATTTGGTGCCTGCCAGCAATGATGTTAGGAACGGATAGCCGAAAATCACGCGTCAAAGGATGACTTACGGCCGTGCCTGCTTGACCGATGAAGTGAAAGTAAATTGGATGCGGGACACAGTCCCGACTTGGAATGTCGTATGAAGAAGACATAGTTAGACGTTTGAGACAAAACTTGAAGTGAAGTTAGAAACAATGAAACATCAATCACAGTGGAATTAAGCTAGATTCAAATGCAACGTACGATGCACTGGAGAGTTGGTGATTAAGTACGAATCAACTGTCCCGCGGGCTTGTAGTTCACTGCTCTTGGCGGATGAGCCCCGATTCACGCGGCTGACCGAACCAATCACCTTGCTACTGCTTGGGCCGGTTCATTTGGCGTCTTGCCGCAAACGCCTTGCGGAGCCGATATCGCATTGCGACGGTCTGGCAGAAGTCTCATCAAGGTCTAACAACTTGCGTGCGACGGCATTCGGTGATTGGATGTAGGTTGTTATGACGTGACGTTGCTGAAACACTTGGTTCGATTGACTTTTCAACTGGTCCAAGTTGATCAAGTTGAGGTGCCCTGCCTTGTTCGTAATGGGCTGTGTGAGGATTGTGTCGGCAGAATCAGCCAATGAATGGGGGGCTTACGTTTGTTTGCATGTTCGTGAATTGGCGTAAGTCGTTAGCGTGCACGGCTGATCGTTCGTGAACAGGGCTGGCAGGCTTGCTTCAGCATCGAATACCCCCGCCCGATCAACACGCCCGGAGGGATTAAAACACATGAAAAGATCGCACGTGCGTAACCGGCTCAGGAACTCAAGGCACGCATTGTACGCAACTTTGGCTTTGTGGTCACCGCGAGCAAATGCGTGTCGCGGGGCTTCGATCGTGAAACAACACTTTTGACGTCCTAATCTATTGTCCACTTCCACGTAGTGATTCATTCTATGTTATAGGCAATTAATTACAATAATACAGGCAAGGTAGAAATTGGGAGGTTGCGTCAACAAAGGTTAGCAATAGGTTTTGAACAATCCTGCATTGCCACGCTCGCTTCTTCACCAGCTCAGACTGCTTACAATTCTCCTCACGTATCACGCCACAATTACAGGCCGGTAGACAACATTAGTTGTGGCAAGTGATCGTTCTGACTCAGTCAAGATCACCTTAGTCCCTTGTGCCGTTGTGCACCTCGAAAGCGCAACGTAGAGCTGTCCATGTGCAAAGACAGGGGTCCGCAAAACGACACAGACTTGTTCGAGTGTCTGGCCCTGAGCTTTGTTGATAGTCATCGCATAAGCAACTGCCACAGGAAATTGGAGTCGGTAGAAGGATACTGGGGCAGCCTCATCTTCGGGAGGGATACATTCGTGCCTTTGCGAGGGCCGGTGACGATCAAGCATTGCAGTGCATTGTCGCTCGTTTCTGTGATGAGTAGCCTCGTTCCATTGCAGAGCCCTGTCACCAAGTTTAAGTTTCTTAGCAGGACAACGACACATCCTACCTTTAGCTTTATGACGTGGTTTGGAAATCCATTCACCACGAACGTGTTCAAGATGTCTGCACTAACGTCTTCTTCGTATTCTTCGTCAATTTCGTCAAGTGAAGTTGAAGTAATCAGCTTGCCCTCTATCGAATCCATTATCACGGTGTTAAGCGTCTCGACAGTCCTATTGAGAGGGGTGATTATGGCTCGACTGGCGTAGTACATTCCCAGATCATGCCATGCCCGGGCCCGAATCATTCCATTCACTGCGGAGTAGTAGTGCTTTACGGTCTGAGTGTTCAGATCCATGCCCTGCTTGACGCTAATGACCTCGACAAACTCGAGCGGAAGTTTCGCAGTAATCTGTACCTGCAACTGTCCCAAACCAAGTTTATCAACCACTCCCCAAAACCGCGTTGTCGGTCGTCAGTCGAGGACGCGCCTGCGTCTTGCTGTAGCCTCATGTTGATTGTTAGTTTGAATTCGTCGATGGTCTGCCATAGATCAGAGTACTTGAAGCAGGCGCGCACTGCATCCATCACACTCCCATGCGGCACGACAGGCAATATCTGGCGAAAATCGCCGGCGAATAAGATGGTGAGACCGCCAAATGGAGCATTGCACGCCCTGAGGTCACGAAGAGAGCGGTCGACACATTCTATCGAATTCTTGTTCATCATTGAGATCTCGTCCCAGACGACGAAGCGCGCCAGGAGAAGCGTCCGGCCGATCACGGTTGATGGTGTAAAGTTACATGTAGAGGTTTCGTCGCAAGGTATTGGGATCTTGAGTTGAGAATGAGCTGTCGCTCCGTTGAGCAGGAGCAACGAAGCACTTCCAGACGAAGCGACTGCGACGAATGGAATTTTGTGTGCGTAACAGTAGTGAACGGCATAGTGTACCGTAGGAAGGTCCTTACCGCATCCGCCATGGACATCCAGAAACATGCATCTTCCATTTCCGTGCTCAATTGATTCACAAACAGCGTTGTAGACGTTACTTTGCTCCGACGTAAGGTTGGGCACCGCCGCTGAGATTACGGCGATGCTAGCTGCTTGAGTCACCTCGTCCGCGGTTGCATTGTGATGACAGCCACCTAGTGCACTCAATAAGTGCATGTCGACGGGCTTGAGACCCACGCCTTGAAGCGTCGATGCCATTTCACTGAGCGTTGCCTCAAGTAGCGCCAAACCATAATGTTCCAAATGCAATTCAGTTGTTACAGCGTGGGGTGCGATGAGTGCAATCCGATATCGGCAGTCATCCACCAGATTTTTGACATGCTTGTCCCAGAGGAGTTGAGGGTTCGACGGAGGACTGTGAACTAAGATGAGAGCAAACATAGCACGTAGTTGGCCACCTGTCTTCCACAAAGCGGCTTCTGTGAGCGAAGCGTCGTAGTGTGCGTCGCTCATTAAGAGACCGCGAGCGTCGGCCGCTGATTGGTAATCCTTGTAGTGAACGCCGTTGAAAGATCTAAGCGACGCGAAGGAAGTTACGCCGGGTACTTGCGTAAGGAGTAGCCGCAGGTAGTAACGATCGCCGTGTCCGGGCCTGGCAAAGTATAGTCGAGATATTGCACCTGTGTCCCGCACACGCCGAGTCCATTCTTTATCCTTTTTGCTCCATCTGAAATATCGGGTCATGTCAGTATAAAGAAGTGACCGGATGGTGATCCTTGACTTTTCTATTGGTTCGTTCTTGAAACAGAGCCTCATGTACTCTGTGAGCGTCGTCCTTCTCGCTCTGCCAGATTCTAGCTGTGCCCGAAGCGAATTCGAGTTGGGAAAGTAAACTACATTGTTGTTTTCGTCGTGAAGGGTAAGTCGTTCTGTCGCCGGGTGACGTCCGGAAAGAGGGAATTTGAGTAGTCGCCACGCAGCTGTGAAGAACGACATAAGCAACGTGGTACCGGTGCAGCAGCGAAGCACTAACCTTCAGAAGCTCCTAGGAATCGGCCGTTGACATAATCGTTAGGTTCATTGTCAGTCTCGAGGCTTAAGTCTTGACGGTTGTGACCCTTCGCGATATATTTGTATAGGTACTTGATGGCCTTCATGCTGACTGCAATCTCAATATTCATGTGACACTGGAACTTAAGCAGTAAAAAGGGATTGTATGCAACGATGTCTTGATTTGTGTAACGGTGGCCATTCTTGATAAAGAATGAGCCATCGTCGGGACGCTTGTACTGCGGGTAAGAACCATCTGTCATGATTGTTTCTGATTGAAACGGCTTAGGGAAATTATACTTGCACCCGAATCCATTCCAGCACGACTTGCCTTTTCCGCACGGTCCGTGGACCATCAAGTCAGTTACAAGCGAGTATAACAGTGGTTCTTTAATTGGATCAGGGATGGTAGCTCGGACAATCAAGTCGACTTGGTCTGGGGTTCTTGGCGTTGAGGCTTTGTCCAGGATTAGGATTGTATGAGCGTGAGGAGCGCCTCGCTTCTGGAACTCGATTGTGTGGACGTCAGAAACGCAAACACCAAGTCGTCCACGCTTCATGACGTCACGATGCATTTCCATCAGTTTCAGTCGGTAAACTCTAGAAAGTAAATCAGGCCGATCGTCTGACGTTTGGCCCGGAAGTAGGGCACGTTTCAAGTCCGGCCAGTGACTGTTGGCAGTCATCGTGATGAACAGACTGGGGGGTCCGTATGCCTTGACCAGTGCCATTGCGTCTTGATATAGTTCGGACATTGCACGCGGACCACCTTTGAAGGAGGAGGGGAGAATTACGTTTCGTCCAATCGTAAAGTCATTCGTGTTGAGGGCTTCAGTGACGCCGTTGTAGAGTTCTGCCCGTAGTTTCTTCTGGTTGTTACGTGCCCATTTCAAACGTGCGTTCTCGATACAAACATACATATCAACCAAGTACTCTTGGAATAGTCGGCACCCACGTAGGATTGGAGAAAAGACGTCGGCACGATTGTAGAGAGTATAGGCAAACCATTCGAGAGCTGTGACCTTACCACTCTTGCCTGCAGGGAGTGAGTGTTAGTTTTTTTCCGTGAACGGGTATAGGTGTCGATTGCTTACGTTGTGCGGTGAAGTGTCGATAGTGCTCGTCCCAGCCGTGCAAGCCATACATGAAGAAGACGGGGTATCTGAGCGGGAAGTAGGCTGTGTTGAGCTCTGAAACTCGTCGAAGTTTGCCGCTCTGGTACTGGACCATGACATCGCGATCCTTTGATCCAACTTCACCATCGCCTTGAATCACAGCGGCGATTTGACTACCCGTAGGATAGTTGTAACGATTTTTGTTCCTGCCTTGCACTTGCAATGGACTTGTCTTGATGGTTCGCCCCGGATTGGATCCACGGATTCTTCAGCAGCTTTGTACATCTTGGCGTGAGGATTAGTCGAATACTTGAAGTCCTGATTCATTCGAAGTACACCGGGATCCATTTTGGACTTCGCAGGCGTACGGTACGCAACCTCGTCTTCCGCTGGATCTCCCCAAATGAACATTTGCGCATACTTCTTAGTGGCCCCGGGGAGAGGGAGCAAAGAACCAATCACATGGGTTAGTTGTCCACATATCCGGTAACTCCATGAACCTCCGTCGCCTGCGACTGTTTTATCTTGTGTTGCAGCGGTTGATGTGAAGGATACGGCGTTGTTGTAACTGCGGATGTTGGAGCGGAAGTTCTTTGCAACTGAGAGAGA